ATATTTGCAACGCAGTATTATGCGGATGTGATTGAATTTTTGTTCCACGGAATGTATGGTGTACTATAGTGGACATTTTGTTTATTCAAAGAAGCACGTTATTTTATTGGAAACCGACAAAGGTCGAGTCTTTTCCAAGGGACTTTATTATACCCTTATGTTTGATTATCATGGAACTTACCATGTTTTATACTTTGTAGCTTCTTATTTGAGGACACACCCGAAGATGACACGGGCCCTCCACACGTATGTCCATGGCTAAAGGGTGACGCATGCCCTTGTTCAGGATCCTATCAACTGTGCCAACACTGTAGGAAGTACAGTTACGCTTGATAAGATTTTATACAAGACGCCCGCCATTGTGACGAATTTTGTTCAACAACGCCACCACTTTATTGAAGCATCATGACAGAAACTTTACGGGAGAAATAGACTGAGATACGTTGATAGTGTTTGTTTGTGCAGTGACTTATCATAGTACTTTATCATATATAATCATTTTTCATTTATAAATATTCATTTCTGTAAATAAATTTGTATATATTTTTCTGTTCTGAGTTGTTGGTTGTTTTAGATAGCAATTGTGGTCGGCCTGGTATCCCATCGTAGTCCCTATTGTGACAAGGGGATCACCCAAGGATCATTTCTGTAAAGTTTGGTTGCAATTGGCCATGTGGTTTAGGAGGAGATGTTGTTTGAAAAGTTTGACGCCATTTTTTGAAGGACGCACGACGCACGACGCACGCAGAGTGATGACAAAAGCTCACCCTTGAGCACTTCGTGCTCAGGTGAGCTAAAAATAACATTTTTCTAGTAAAATAATCTAAGTTTATGGGGGGATAATTCTTGCAATATTGGTGCTAGAGTTATGAACCTTGTCACATAAGATGTGGATGATTATAAGGTACATATATGTGAAGTATGAAATTGATCCCTTTAAAAATAAATAAGTTACTGTAAAAAATAAAAAAATAAGGAAAAATCTAAGTTCATGGGGAGATAAATCTTAAAATATTGGTGCTAGAGTTATGAACCTTGTCACATAAGATAGGGATAATGATAAGGTACATATATTTGAAGTATATTGTTGATCCCTTAAGATATAAAAAGTAACAGTAAAAAATAGTATTTTTTAAAGAAAATTCTAAGTCATAGGGGAGATAAATTTGAAAGTATTGGTGCTAGAGTTATGAACCTCATCACATAAGATGGGGATGGTGATAAGGTACATATATTTGAAGTATTAGGTTGATCCCTTAAGAAATAAAGAAGTAACAGTAAAAAATAGTATTTTTTAAGGAAAATTCTAAGTAGGGGAGATAAATCTGAAAAGTGTTGGTGCTTGATTTATAAACCTTGTCACATAAGATGTGGTTGATGATTAGGAACATATATTTGAAGTTTGAAGTTGATACCTTAAGAAATGACAAATTTATAGTGAAAAATATTTTACTGTTCCAAAACTTTAATCTGAAATCTGGACGCGGACGCTGATGCCGGGGCGAGTAGGACAGCTCTCCATATATTTGTATAGTTGAGCTAAAAAGCACAAAATGTTATGCCTAAAAAGTAATCAAAAATCGAAATGCTATGCTTACGAATAATTTTCTTCTTTTCTTACCTGCCTTTACATTTATAACATTAATACTCACACAAACATCCAACTGATGTTCATTATTAAATTTTGTACACAAGTAACAGCTGAACTGGGTGATTCTCCCTAAACAGGTTTTGGACACAAAAAAAAACTTTTGTAACAGTTCGACAGACATGCAGACAGACAACGAAGAAATGATCTAATATGTCACCACTCTTCTGTAGAGGTGACACGAATTGTCAGAACAAAATCAGTGGAGTGAAACCCATGTGCGATTCTTATATAGAATGCCAACTCTAAATTTAAATCGAAGCGCCAAAAGTGAAAATATTCAGATTCAACAGATTGACCTCAAGGTGTCCAAAAGCAATACCAAGTAGGTTTTCCACACAAGATTGCTATATACCAAGTTTGAATACAATACCCCATTTCAAACTCTAGTTATCGTCCAGGAAACCATGAAGTGGGCCACTGACCAACCAACAAGCTGACACCTTTAAACTCACCCCCTAAAATTCATTCATGAGGGTATACTGAGTATGTCATTATAACAAAGGCTATTAGGAACAAAGAACATGGAATGGTTTAAGTATGCATACCCCTTTTTCAAGATATGTATACAGGCTAAGAAATAGTTAAACTAGTAAGATTTTTATATTAGCTTCTATTAATTATTTATTGACTTCTGAAAGTAATTTTTATTTACCTGCCCTTGACTTTGGACAAAGGTTATCATGATAAAATTAACAAGATATGTTTGTAAAACATGTATGCCCCCTGTCGGCAGCCAATTAGTCATGTGATCAGGTTATTATGCTTGACTTCTGACCCAGTGAACAAACAATTAATAAGGGTTATCTAGTATCTACTGGTCATGACTAGTCACAAGGTAATAATTATTGTGACCCTATAGGTTGTGTGCAGCAATTTAAGTTATTACAAATCTTACCAAATAATATATGCATAAATTTTATGAATCATGTAGGCCTCATTAATGACAGCCAAGTTGTTGACCCCAAAACCAATAGGTCATCTGCTGGCAATGACCAATCATTATACCAAGTATGAAGTTTCTAGGCCTAAGCGTTCTTTAGTTATTGATTGGAAACCGTTTTTACCTACAAGGTAAATGTGACCTTGACCTTTGACCCCTTGACCCCAAAATCAATAGGGGTCATCTGCTGATCATGACCAATCACCATACCAAGTTTGAAGTTCCTAGGCCTAAGGGTTCTTTAGTTATTGATCGGAAACCGTTTTTGCTTACAAGGTCAATGTGACCTTGACCTTTGATCCCTTGACCCCAAAATCAATAGGGGTCATCTGCTGATCATGACCAATCACCATACCAAGTTTGAAGTTCCTAGGCCTAAGGGTTCTTAAGTTATTGATCGGAAACCGTTTTTACCTACAAGGTCAATGTGACCTTGACCTTTGACCCCTTGACCCCAAAATCAATAAGGGTCATCTACTGATCATGACCAATCACCATACCAAGTTTGAAGTTCCTAGGCCTAAGGGTTCTTTAGTTATTGATCGGAAACCGTTTTTGCTTACAAGGTCAATGTGACCTTGACCTTTGATCCCTTGACCCCAAAATCAATAGGGGTCATCTGCTGATCATGACCAATCACCATACCAAGTTTGAAGTTCCTAGGCCTAAGGGTTCTTTAGTTATTGATCGGAAACCGTTTTTGCTTACAAGGTCAATGTGACCTTGACCTTTGACCCCTTGACCCCAAAATCAATAGGGGTCATCTGCTGATCATGACCAATCACCATACCAAGTTTAAAGTTCCTAGGCTTAAGGGTTCTTTAGTTATTGATCGGAAACCGTTTTTGCTTACAAGGTCAATGTGACCTTGACCTTTGACCCCTTGACCCCAAAATCAATAGGGGTCATCTACTGATCATGACCAATTACCAAACCAAGTTTGAAGTTCCTAGGCCTAAGGGTTCTTTAGTTATCACTCGGAAACCATTTGGTCTACGGACCGACGGACCAACGGACCGACGGACCGACAAGTGAAAAGCAATATACCCCCTCTTCTTCGAAGTGGGGGCATAATAATCTTTTTCTTTAAACTGAAGATAATTAAAAACGTCAACATTTTATCAATTAAAAGAAATAACAGCTTTGGATGCAAGAATCTTTATGGTTACATTACAATTAATTCAAATTGGCACACTAAAAGTTATTCAGAGCTATATCTTAATACATTTTAAGATAAAGATTTCTCATCCTCCATTATGAAGTTGTTTTTAATTAAAGCATAAATATATTTCATAAGTCCTCACTTCATAGTTTTCAACATTTCCGTTCAATGTAAATTCAGGACCAAAATGGGTTAGTTACTTCATACATAAAATGCCAACATATATGTATGCTCAAAGATGCTGGGGAGTTTTTTTATCTAAAAACTTAAAATCTTTGTGAAACAATTCAGAAATTATTCTTTGTACAATTAATAAAATTTGAAATATCAAACACTAGCATATACATGTATATTATAGAAGCATTGAATCTTTAATGGTTCATTTGCAAGCACCTGCATCATGGAACCTCTAATGCACCATTGATCAGTGATGACCAACTCCCATCAACTATTCCTTATATCAAAATCAATCTACTCCTAATATCAGATTTTTTCAATTACCCAAAAGACATTTGGGTTTGTCATTTTATACCAAAATAAAAGTTGTACTAGACCTGCACATTCCTTTGACATATCCATATGTCATATTTGAGTTGATAGTGTACATTAAAAAACTGTTGGGGGAGATAATGAACAGAGTCTGAAATATTTTTTTTCAAAGCTAAAGGGGTAAAACTCTTTCAAAAATCATCTAACCATAAACAAATTCGAACTTGACCATCGATACATTTATATCCATTTTTTTTACAAAATACATATAAAGAAAAATCAATGACCCCTGGGGCAGGGACAATTTTGACCCCAAGGCTTTTAGCAGTGTTTATTCTAGGGGGTGGGTGGGGGGATTCACTTATATTTTTATGATTCCCCCCACCCCCTATTTTTTCAAAGGCAAGGCAAAAATTCTACATAGAGAAAGAGAGAATTATCAACAAATGTAATAAATTCTCACTGTTTGATAACATATCCCCCATTTTTTTATTTCCTAGACAGACACTTTTTTATTTGAACAAACTTGGTAGACACACACTACAAAATGTTTCATACTAAATTGCTAAGCTCTAGCTCTGTGGCTTTTTCAAGAGAAAATTTTTAATATTTAAAGAGCTTCAAACCAGGACCATTCCTGCTTAATTTCAAAATATTGGCCTATTGATATAGAAGATGTTCTTTTCAGAAAAAGGTTGCTGCCATTCATGACTCAGGCAGAGTGCTCAGGTGAGCTAAAGTAAAAGAGAGATACATACCTTTTATTCAAGACATCTGATCTGTCATCTGAAAGCAATAAATGATATTATAAAACCATAAAAATCTTTTGTTTTTATAAAAGAGTAAAATGTTGATTGGTTGTTTGTCAGACTGACACTGTTTAAGTCACATAGCAGCTTTTCTGATGGTTTGTTTGACAATTTGTGCATTATTTCAGGCACAAGCTGGCACTGCTGCTTTAAAAGCTAGCTAGATAGCCTCCATACATGTAAAAAGAGCATTCAGTGATCAGTGTCGCCTGATGATAGCCAATTAAGCATTTGTATTGAGAACTTATTAGACAATTTATTTCAAATTTGTCCAGGCTACTTTATACCCAGTTACTGTGTCCAGACAAGTTTTGTGACCGGTAGCCAGACAAACAGAGAGATGGAAAAGTGATCCCTTTATGTTGTGGCTTCTTTGTAGCATGCCACAGCTAAATTACATGTGGGTTAAAGCAGTAGTCCTGATAAATTTTCAAAATAACTAATGGACCATTTCTCTAACTAGATCAACTCCGCAAGTTGGATATAGTGCCTTGTGAACAGTATAGCTGTCACTTAGGCATTTTCTTCATTATTATAGGTTATTTATAAACATCACTCTCACAATGTACATGTACCTTGAACTTTAGTGACATTTGAATTGATTGTAACAATGTTCCAATCAAGGATTTATGTAGCTTACATAGCTTTTATTGTGTAGGAGAATTGGCCCAGAAAAAATAAAATATAATAATTAACAAAGGGCAATAACTCTAAAATTTTGAAGTACATAGTACAGGTTCGTATGCTCGCTCTTCCTCTCAATGAGAACTATCATCCTATGAAGTTTCAAGTTGATAGCTTTTATAGTTTAGGTGAAATGGCTGGGACAAAGATAAAGTATTATAATTAACAAAGGGCAATAACTTTAAAATCATGAAGTGCAGAGTACAGGTTTTTGTGCACTGCACTTCATCTCAATGAGATCTATCATCTTATGAAGTTTCATGTCCATAGCTTTTATAGTTTAGTAATCGTTTATTAAAATTAATAAGATACGAGATTACAAAAGCTCAGTGAAGGCCCATTTACTAGAACAGTTAGGAAAACATAAATAAATTCACTAGTACTTGTATAACTAGATATTGATCTTCATTTTTTTTCGTTTTCTTGTTAGTAGAGTAAAAGAAAATATTAAAGTTTAATATTTTATCCAGTTTCCAAAGTTTTATCAAGTTTTATCAAGTTTTTTGTTTTTATATTGTATATTCTAGGAGGTACATATCCAATGACCCCATTGGAAATAAGCCTTCGGGCTTTCATGGGCAATCTGAGATTATTGCACACTACTTTATACTTCCACTTACTTCATCACATTATTATTAATTGGTAAATTGATATCTAGTCATAGGAAAGAAAGATAAATTTGGTATTGTCTCAAATGTATTTTTATAGATTTTATTCTTTATTATTCTTTTTTTACTATTTAATGAGACTCCTGTGTTATTTATGTTTGACAAACTTCCGAAATATTTTAGTACAATTGTGTTATAACTTTTACATAGAATGCATGTATTATTATTATATGTGTGTTAAAATCTGCCTGCCTGCCTGCCTGCCTGCCTGTCTGTCTGTCTGTCTGTCTGTCTATCTATCTAGGAGAAATGGCCCAGACAAGAATGATTTATGAAAAGAAACAAAGGGAAATAACTAAAAAATAGGAAGTGCAGAGTGCCGGTTCTTTGGCTGCTTCTTGGCACTGCATTTCTTATTAATGAGATGTAGCATCCTATAAAGTTTCAAGTCCACAGTTGATATACTTTAGGAGAAATGGCCCGGACAAAAAGAAAATATGCCAAGAAATGTCAAACGACACACATGTCCCCCTTTCTAGACCTTGACTCACATTATTGGTAATTTTGTTAAAGAAACTTGCCATGAATGGGTACAATGAAGTATTAAATTATGGAAAAAAGAAAAATAATGAAGACTTTGCGATAAATAATTGTCAAGATAATGACCTTGACCTTTGACCTAGTGACCACAAAATCAATAGGGGTCACTTACTTGTAATGACCAATCAATATTAGAAAAATGAAGACTTTGTGATGAATAGTTTTCAAGATAATAAGCGGAAGGTATTCTGACATTTAAGGCCCCTGTGATCTAGTGCCCCCAAAAGCGTTATGGATCATCTGTTGGTTATGACCAATCACTATGTGAAATATGAAGACTTTGTGATAATTATCTTTCAAGATAATGAGCTGAATTCTTCTACCATTCAAAGACCCTGTGACCTTGACCTTTGACCTAATGACCCAAAAATCAATAGGGGTCATCTACTTGTTATGACTAACCAATATGTGAAATATGGAGACTTTGTGATAAATAGTAACCAAGATAATAAGCGGAAATCATATTAACATTCAAGGCCTCTGTGACCTTGACTTTTTGCCTAGTGACCCTAAAATCAACTAGAACTGCCACTGTCATGGCGTAAATACCCCTGCATACCACTTTGTCAGAATCAACAGTGACCATTGAGAGCTCAAAGACAACCTCCCTGCAAAATCTGAGGTTACTAAGCCAGTACATTGCTAAGTTATGTATTCTACATGCGTCAAATGTGAAAATGTCAAAATCAATACACTGCGGACAGGCATTCTTAAGCATTTGAGCAGACAAGCTTATTATAGTAAAATCCTTGGGACATTGACCTTTGACACAGTCACCTAAAAATCAAAAGAGGCATACTACTAGTCATAAACAACCTCAATACCAAATATGAAGACTGTTGACCAAAGCCTTCTTAAGCAATTGAGCGGACAAGCTTTTTTAGTCAAGGCCCCTGTGACCTTGACCTTTGACCCAGTGACTTCAAAATCAATAGGGGTCACCTAATGGTCATGATAAACCTCCATGCCAAATATGACGACTGTGGGTTATAGGATTCTTGAGTTATTGGGCGGACAAGCTTTTTGAAATCAAGGCCCCTGTGACCTTGACCTTTGACCCAGTGACCTCAAAATCAATAGGGGTCATCTACTAATCATGACTAACCTCCATGCCAAATATGAAGACTGTGGGTCAAAAGATTCTTAAGTTATTTGGCGGACAAGCTTTTTGAAGTCAAGGCCCCTGTGACCTTGACCTTTCACCTGGTGACCTCAAAATCAATAGGGGTCTCCAACTAATCATGACTAACATCCATGCCAAATATGAAGACAGTCACTGTGGGTCAAAAGATTCTTAAGTAATTGGGCGGACAATTTTCGAAGTAAACACCTTAAGAAATAAAGAACTTATGGTGAAAAAGCTGAAAAAATTTTAATCAGAAATCTTGAAATTCAGGCTATTTGTTGCCAAAGCAACCAGAATGTTCAACATAGGAAGAAAAGAAAAAGATGTGCATAATCTCCAGACTGCCATCTACCCATATTTCAAGTTTCATAAAAATATTTTCAGTACTTTTTGACTTATCACTGGATCCAGTTTATGTGTTAAATTTGCCATATTTTCAGACTATTTGTTGTCATAGCAACCAGAATATTCAACATAATAAGAAAAGAAAAAGATGTGCATAATCTCCAGACTGCCATCTACCCATATTTAAAGTTTCATAAAAATATTTTCAGTACTTTTTGAGTTATCACTGGATCTAGCTTATGAGTTAAATTTGCCATATTTTCAGACTATTTGTTGCCATAGCAACCAGAATTTTCTACATAGGAATAAAAGAAAAAGACGTGCATAATCTCCATACTGCCATCTATCCATATATCAAGTTTCATAAAAATATTTACAGTACTTTTTGCGTTATCGCGGGATCTAGTTTTGTGGACGGACGGACTGACAGACAGACGGACTGATAGACAGACAGACGGACGGACAGACAGACGGACGGACAGACGGATGGAGGGTAAACCTAAAGTCCCCTCCGGTTAAACCGGTAGGGGACTAATAAGATATTTTATTTTTTTACTATATGTATACATAGTGAAAACCAATGACGGGCAGGGCCACTTTTGATCCCAGGGCTATAATTTGAACGATCTTGGTACAGGTCTACCAGACAATGCCTTATGCAAAATATCTATGTTCCATGCCTTGTGGGTCTTTACAAGTAGATTTATTAAATTTTTTCGTATAATTCCTTTTGGTTGCCATGGCAACCAGATTTCTGCATTAAATAACATTCTTTGAAAAAATTTGGAAGCCCTTCACCCAAGGATCAATCCTGCCAAGTTTGGTTGAAATTAGACAAGTGTTTTTTCACAAGAAGATTTTCACTATAGAATCTATATCACACACGCACGCACAAAGCACAAATGCACACACACCACACCCACAAAGGTGAATTGCTGTATGCTACCCCAACACACCAACACACCAACACACATGCACGCACACATTCAAGCACAAACACACACAGGGGTAAATCGCTGTATGCCACTGCATCGCAGATGCTGTGGTGGCATAAAAATACACAAAAGCAGGACTAAAATTTTCCCCATTGCTGAATAGACAAATGCATATCAAATAGACGCCGAGTCTACTAAACAACAAAGTTATGACAATTTAAGCAATTTTAAATAATTTGACCTTAATCTGACATACATAAAGAAGTTAAAGTTTTAAACAAGATTGCATTTGAGAAAAATGCTATGCCACCGCATGGTTCAAATTTCATAGCTGTACATCAAAGGACAAGAAAGTAGGTCACATCATCAAAATCTAGGTCACCTGATATCAAAGTTTAATTTTACAACTAAAACTGTGCACATGGTCAAAATGTCATTGCTGCACATCAAAGGACAAGAAAGTAGGTCACTGTCCCCTTGGGCAAGGCATAATTTTGACAAAAGGGTTTAATTCAAAACAATTTTGATACAGGTCCACCAAACAACATTTCAAGTCAAATATCTAAGCTATAGCTTTCTCCCATTCAGAAAACATTTGTTTTATTTTCTGTTTTTACTATGTGTACATAATGAGAATCACTGCCCCGGGCAGGGCCAATTTTGACACCAGGGGAAAATTTTGAACAACTTTGGTAGAGGACCTATAAATGATATCATATATCAAACATCAAAGCTCTATGCCTTGAACCTTCAGACAAATATATTTTTTATTTTTTCACTATATGTACATAATGAAAATCAATGACCCCCGGGGCGGAACCAATTTTGACCCCAGGGCTATAATTTGAATAATCTTGCCAGAGGTTCACTACACAATGTTTCATGCAAAATATCTTAACTCTAGCCTTTGTAAATTTAGAGAAGATGATTTTTTAAGTTTGTACTATATACATATAAGGAAACCTATGGCCACCAGGGGGCGGGGCTAATTTTGACACAAGAGGCAAAATTTGAATAACTTTTGTAGAGTACCTTCAGATGATACAATTTAACAAATATTAAAGCTCTAAGCCTTGTACCTTCAGACAATAAGATTTATTTATTTTTTACTATATGTATATATTGAAATCAATGACCCCAAGGGCGGTGGCAATTTTGACCCCAGGGCTATAATTTGAACAATCTTGCTAGAGGTTTACTACACAATGTTTCATGCAAAATATCTAACCTCTAGCATTTGTCAATTGCTAGAAGAATTTTTTTTGAAGTTTTTACTATAAGTTTTTACTATATACATATAAGGAAAACCAATGACCCCCGGGGCGGGGCCGATTTTGACCCCAGGGCTATAATTTGAACAATCTGGGTAGAGGTCTACCAGAAAATGCCTTATGCAAAATATCTAAGCTCTAGGTCTTTTGGGTCTTTACAAGAAGGTGTTTTAAGTTTTTACTATATGTACATATAGTGAATATCAATGACCCCGGGGCGGGGCCGATTTTGACCCAAGGGCTATAATTTGAACAATCTTGGTAAGGGTCTACCAGAAGATCCCTTATGCAAAATATCTAAGCTCTAGGCCTTTTGGGTTTTTACAAGAAGGTATTTTAAGTTTTTACTATATGTACATAGTGAAAATCAATGACCCTCTGGGCGGGGCCAATTTTGACCCCAGGGCTATAATTTGAACAATCTTGTTAGAGGTCTACCAGACAATGCCTTATGCAAAATATCTAAGCTCTAGGCCTTTTGGGTCTTTACAAGAAGATTTTTTAAATTTATTCTTATAATTCCTTTTGGTTGCCATGGCAACCAGATTTCTGCATGGAATAAAATTCTTTGAACAACTTTGGAAGCCCTTCACCCAAGAAAAAATCCTGCCAAGTTTGGTTGAAATTGGACTAGTGGTTTTTCACAAGAAGATTTTTTAAAATCACTATATAATCTATATAACACACACACAAACACACACACTAACACACGCACACACACACAGGTGAATCGCTATATGCCACCGCATCGCAGATGCTGCGGTGGCATAAAAACACATTTATAATTACCTTTGCTTTTTGATCTTTTCTTCCAAACAAACACCAAAACAATAGCTAGTATTATCACACAGCCAGCAGCTGCAACACCTCCTGCAATTGCAGCAACTGTACCAGGTGGATTTGGCTTGACTTTTTTTTCTGAAAAACACAATCTTTTCTTGAAAAAATGTTTTCTTACAAACTGTGAAACTGCATTAACAAAGGCGGGGCAATATATGCCTGTTTGTAAATTTCGTTTAAGTAATCAAAACTTATCTTTAAACTAAGCCCCTTCATTACACTTGTTTCGGAGATGTTTTTGTATTAATTTTACTAAGTGATATTAAGTGACTCCCAGGGCAGGGACATTTGTAACAATAAGAGCATGGTTAAATCATATAACTTTTGTTGATACCTATATTGCTAAAGGTCTATGGTTGCTATGTAAAGTCACTGGCTTCTTTGTAAGTTATTGGTTGCTATGTATGTCACTGGTTGCTATGGAAGTCAAAAGTCGCTATGGAAAGTTTTTACAATCTTTATATAAACAAATCTATGTTCTCCAGAGGCGGGCTAATTTTGACTTCAGGGCTATAATCTGAATAATTTTTGTTGAGGTCCACAGAAATTTGTTTCAAGTGAAATATCTAAGATATAGCCCTTGCATTTGAAAAAGATTTTTAAAGAATTTACAAAATAAGCCTTGACCCCATGGGGCCAAGCCATTTTTTTCAATTAGAGCTAGAATTTGAACAAATTTGGAACAGGTCTACAAGATAATGTTTCATGTAAACAAGAGGGCAATAATGGCAATATATCGCTCATCTCATCTGATTATGAAGGCCCAATCCCAATTTCCAAGATATTTGGACTGGAACAGTATCCTCTAGAGTGATAACAAGGTTTTTCCATATTTGGGAGCTGTGTGACCTAGTTTATGACCCCAGGTTATCCATATTGATTATTCCAACTTGACCTTGAAATCATTATAACAACCTTTCTGATTATTTTAAAGGATTTTTGGACTGGAACAGTAGCCCCTACAGTGTTAAGGTTTTTCTATATTCAGAATGTGTGACCTAGTTTTTTACACCAGGTGACCCATATTTGAACTTTACCTAGAAATCCCCAAATCAACCTTTCTGGTCAATTACCAGGATATCTGGATCAAAACAGACTTCCAGACTGTTAACAAGGTTTTTCCATATTTGGGCAGTGTGACCTTGTTTTTGACCTCATATGACCCATATTCAAAACTGACCTAGGAATCATCAAATCAACCTTTCTGACCAATTTTGCAGGATATTTGGATCAAAATAGTAACCACAAGAGTGACAACGAGGTTTTTCCATATTCCAGCTGTGTTACCTTGTTTTTGACTACATGTGACCCATATTCAAACTTGACCTTGAGATCATCAGACCAATTTCAAAGATATTTGGACTGGAACAGTAGTACCTAGAGTTAACAAGGTTTTACCTTATTGGGGCTGTGTGAGCTACTTTTTGACCCCAAGTGACCCATATTCGAACATGACATAGAAATCATCAAAACAACCTTTTTGACCATTTCCACGATATCTGGATCAAAAAAGTAGCCACTAGGATGTCAATAATATTGTTTTATTTTTAGCTCCTGTGACATAGTTTTTCATCGAAGATGGCTCATGAACAAACTCATCCAAGCAGTTACTTAGACAAGAAGTGCTGCAATGCGACAAAAACCAGGTTTTTAAACCACCGACAGGAATTAAGAACGAAACATGGCAGTGAAAAATAAATGATGCTGTTTTTTGTACCAACACAGAAAATTGATTTCACTAATTCAAAATAAAAATATACCAGATACCTGAGTATCAATGCCAGGCTGTATTTTCATGTAAGCTACACAATGCCAAGTTAAGTATCAAAGGTCAAAGTGTACTGAACCTTTACCTAGCTCCTATTTATCTAAGTAGCAAACCCAAGCTGCATCTAACTAGACATTTGCGGCTTATAATGAGGAACGGGGATTGAGGATCGAGGACAAGTTATAAAAAGGGATAATCTCAAAATAATCTAACATTTTATAATAAACACTATTTCTAAGTAACGGATAACAACAGCATTATCAACGATAATTTGTGTTTGTATAATGTGATATTGTCTTTGTCCTGAATAATATTATTGTTGTGGCTCTACTTTAGGCGAAATGTCCCATCAATAGACCTGACCGCAATATGTACTCACATTTGTTTAATGAGTAAAACGTTTCAAATATAAACATGGAATTAAAGCCCGGATCCCATCTTTAACTGACGATACACTTATACCTTTTTTCAAATTATGTTCTGAACGATAGTGTTCAGTGCCTTATGGGATGTTTTATTTAAAGAATAATGTAAGTTGTTTCGGTGTCTCTTAGCGTAACTCGAAGAACTTGCATCTATGTGTGCATTTGAAATACATTTCTGCCACTTCAGTGAGAATCATAGTGTGATAATACGCAAGCAAAAATCCTACCGAAATAAATGAACCAGATATTAAGTAAGCATGATTAAGAGAAACAATAAAACTACATAAGTATTTACAACATAAATCAGTTACCCTAAATCTGCACCAAATTCTTAATATATTTTGACATAGTATATAAAAATAGCTTTCAAACCATGGGTAAATTGCAATAAAATTTATCAGAGTCTTTTTTAATTTACTGACGCATTATGCAGAGGTATTTTTAATATTCCATACATAATTTATATCCTCCATAAGGCTTTTAGTAGACATTCTTCTTCGACTGAAAAAGGTTATTAGTTCAAGCCACTCAATTATCCCAAAGGACCATAAAAGTAAAGCAACACTGAAGTGAAGTACAGGGCACCTTTTTACGGCTGCCACACGGCACTTGACACCTGATGCTTTGATATATAAATATCACATTAAACTCCGATTCAGTAACTCACTCCATTTCAATTTCACTATATACAAATTATTGCCAGCCCTTTAGGCCGTACAACGTCTTGAAAGACGTCTTTTATGTTAAGGATTTAGTGCCAAAAAAAACCAGTTAGGTGCAGTCCCTATGGTAAAACGGGCATCTAAACCAAGGGCAAGCTAAAGCGGCTCACATGCAGCAGTCATTGCTAGGGCAAGCTCCAAAAACCCAACAGCTGTATAAATGAGGGTCAACACGGACAGCTTACCAGCAGCTTCGCTCCCGCCTAGTCCCGAGACAACTCGAACACGGACCAGTCCCACGTGAACTGCACAACCGGGGCCGTAGTCAAGACGTAAAGATATCGGTTCTCAAGATGCCAAACGTTTTGACATCATCAAAGGACGAAACTGTTGATGCACATCATCACACTAGACAAAACAACCGTCAACGTAAACAATCATTGGCTGAACTTATGAGAAAAGTTTCGAATTTATTTAGGGAACTAGGCATCAGTTCGTCTTGCAATTACTAAAATGAAAATTAAGGAAAGAACCCCAGTAACATATCCTGGCCTTATTTCAAGTGTTTATAATATGTGTTGAGATGAACCCTCTATATAAACGTAACTGTTCCTCGATAATAATATTCCCAACATTATGTCGCAAACGTCCAGTATAAGCTGCCCACACACCAAATTAAGTGTCAATAGGTCAAAGCAAACTAGTTATAACGTGGAAACTGAATTTCTTTTTTTTAAGGAACAGTGATCTTGACCTTGTTCACAGACACGTGGGTAGCAATCCCAAGTTGCCACTTTATATAAGCTACCCATATACTAAATTTGGAGTCAATAGGTCTAAGCAAACTCAAGTTATTATGTGGATACCTAATTTCTATTTCTAGCAATAGTTGACGCCCTCCCAGCCAAGTAATGTCTTGATATAAGCTACCCACATACTAAGTTTTGTGTCAATAGGTCAAAGCAAACTGAAGTTATTGAGTGGGAACTTAATTTAAAATTTAAGCAAGAGTGACCTTGACCTTGATGCAAACATTTTATGTAGCAATCCCAAGCTGCCTATTCGATTTAAATCTACCCATACACCTTGTTTGGTGTCAATAGGCCTTAGCAATCACAAGTTATTGAGGGGAAACTGAATTTCTATTTTCTAGCAACAGTGACCTTGATCACAGACACCTGGGTTGCAATCCTATGCTGCCTTTTGATATTAACTACCCATACACCTTGTTTGGTGTCGATAGGCCTTAGCAAACTGAAGTTATTGAGCAGAAACTGAATTTTTATTTTTAGTAACAGTGACCTTCACCTTGATCACAGACACATGGCTAGCAATCCCAAGCTGCCTTTGATATTAACTACCCATACACCAAGTTTGGTGCCATAAGGCCTAAACAAACTAAAGTTATTTAGCAGAAACTGAATTTCTATTTTTAGTAACAGTGACCTTCACCTTGATCACAGACACCACAGTTAAGCAACCCCAAGCTGCCTCTTGATATAAGCTATACACAAAGTTTGGTGTCAATAGGCCTAAGCGAACTAAAGTTATTAAGAAGCAAGAAACTGAATTTCTATTTATATCAGTAATATCTAGTTTAATGTGCATAAAGAATACACAAAACCCCTAGCTTATATTGTCTTTAGGGCATAAATTGAACTATCTTTGTAGAGGCTCACAGTAATTCATACCAAATATCTAACCTCAAGCTTTTGAAGCTGCAAGGATAAATGTCTGATTTTTTTACTATAATTATGTTTGTAATGAAAATCTATGCCATAATTTGAACAAACTTGGAAGTTGTCAACATCACAGATACTGCATTGGCATAAAGAATAGGTAGAGGTCTACTAGATAATGTTTCGTGCCAAAACCTAGGATCACTTTTTTTCAGCTATTTATTCATCACAACAGCAGGTGTCAAGTGCTATGTGGCAGCTATAAAAAGTTGCCACATATTTCTCTTTAGTGTTGTTTTATTTTTCTGGTCCTTCAGGATCACACAGTCCAGCACTTTTAAGTGTTGAGAATTGTGAACCTCTCAAGCCGGTGCTAGGGGGCATGAGGGATGTTAAATATTTTTATTACCCCTCATGTACAGACTCAAAACCGAGTCTGCAGTTTTCATGTAATTTTGCTGTTTTTAATGCTTTGAGGGATCACGTTTTTCCAGATATGTAAGCCTTTATAGTTTTAGAAGAGACATTTTTTTTAATTTAATTA